TAGATTTTGTGTTACTTATTTATCTACTTTATATTTCACTTGTATTTTTGTGGCATTCATGTGGACGGCAAAGTAAGAATTTCATTGTACAGGGAAACACGTTTCCTAACTGTGCATATGACAAAATAAACACTTTGAACTTGACCTCATTTAGGTGGTGGGCATGTGAACCAGCTAAAAGCCTCTGAAAAATACAAGATTTTCACACTGAACTTTTTTTTTCAGTTCTTATATTTTCTGATTGTCACGTATGTGCTCATTTCCATGTGCCTTTACTGTCTTTTTGATTACACAGACTGATGAATGAAAGTTTTTGGAAGTTTTTCATGATGATTTTGATGATGATTGTTATTATTAAATAAGAAACTAAAGAAGCCATGCATGTGATTCAGCTTTGACAGGGCTAATTGACCATGCTCTGTTTTGCGCATGCATATTTAATATGATGTTAAAGCACAAGATGTTAGTTTGGTTATTTCAGAGCTCACAGCAAACATTAACGCAACATACTCCAGTCAGGATTGTAGAAATGATCATTGGTACAAGCCTGTCCTCCATGGAGGACCTGTACACCTCACTGATCAAAAGGAGGGCACAGAAGATTTCTGCAGACCCCTCACACCCTGCACACAAACTGTTTGAACTCCTCCCCTCTGCACAGTGCTACAGGTCACTGTGCGCTAAAACAACCAGATGCAAGGAACTGGACCAAGTATGGTGTCTACCTCAGAAGTACTTTGTGGTAAATAAAGTGAAACATGTGGCATACAAGATTATCCACAGATGCTATACAACAAAACATTTTTAAAAAATTTTGAAGACTTAAACTGTACTAGGTGAGAGAGAAACGGTATTTTGATTTTCTGTATGTTCTGCACATATAGTGAATTGACAATAAAAATCTTTGATCTTGATCTTCTTTTTGTGGTGGTCACTTAGAAACTGTGAGCATTTATTTTGGTATTGTGACCACGGCCATAAAGTTTGGAAAGATGTCTGCAGACTCGTATGTAATAATTTCATATCTGATTGTAACCTCAAATATGAGAATTTAGTTTTTGGTGTTCATGGTCATTGTACGGGATGTTTACATGGAGAACAACAATTTTGAATCAACATTACTGTCCTTGAGGGCAAATATGTTCTACCCATCTGAAAAAAACAAAGCCTGCTGCCTATCTTTTTGTAGTTACACAGACTTTTACATAAAGACTATCTCCTTTTCTAACAATGCAAAGCTTTGAAGACTTTACTTTGTCAAACATATCAGCTCTTTATTAAGAATATGCAGCTTTCCCTTCATTTTTTCCCATTCATTTTATTATTTATTTTATTTATTATTTACCCCTAGCACTCTTCTGTTGTGTTTTCTTTATATTGTACTTTTATTCTGTGAAATAAAGTAAAAAAAAAAAAGATATCTAAATTATGCTTTTAAAAAAGGACAGTTACTTACCCTGCACCATCACCCTGATCCACAATTAGTGTTGCACCTGGTAGGGGGAGCTAGCTTTAATTAGCTTATATGCGTATCTTAATTTGAATTACTACTGCGTATCTTGTGCATTTTCCACGGGATCAATAAGGTTTTATGATTATAGGCTACTGTATATATTTACTTATTAATCTAATTCAGAAAAGTAACAGGAAGCCTAATTAAAGTTATAAAATACATGTATTGGACCTACAACACTGGTAAAATGTAGTGAAGTTGGAGATGATGGCAGCACAAAATGAAAGTACTCAAGTAAAGTACATACATCTCTAAATTGTATTTAGGTACAGTTCTTGAGTAAATGTGCTAAGAGGCTTTCCACCACTGCATTTACACTGATATTTAGCTACATATAATTGTCTTAATTTTCATAGTAGGTGGTGGAAATGCACCTTAGTGTTGGATGATGCCCGCTATTAAATACAAAGAAGAAGAAGAAGAGGAGGCGGTAATGATACGCCTGTAATAATGCAGATGAGGTTCACGTGGTGAGTGACCTGTGACTACTGACGAAAATCATTCAACTTTAAACCTCAAAGCTGCCTTGACTCTAACTTTGAGATGAGACTTGGCCCAAAAAGCAACTTCATTGATTAACCAAGCTTAATTTAACTTACATTTGATCTAATAGTGTCTTAGGTTGGGGTGTGCACTAACCGAATCCAAAACCACGACAGTTGTGCTGAAATCACACTAA